GTGTGTGTGTGTGTGTGTGTGTGTGTGTGTGTGTGTGTGTGTGTGTGTGTGTGTGTGATTCGTGGAGGGGTGTGAGTAAAGACCTGCACAGAACTGATCACTACTGCAGTTAGATTTGTGGAAAACCCGATGTCCCCACTTCCTCTGAAGTCAGGCACCAGTGAATTCACAGGATCCAAGCAGCTGCTRGTTTTAAGGAATCGTGAGCTGCGTGCGCCTCGGTGCATGATGGGAAATCTGTAGCATTCACCTGATGTAACAGCTGCTGTGTCCCCACCCACATGCGCTCCCCAAGGCAATGAGAAAATACAGAGTCTGCTGTGTATGAACGTCCACAACATTAAAGTCGTGAACGGCTTCAAGTTGCTTTTAAAAGAACAAAAACAAACAGAAAACCTGAATTTAGAAGCAAAGAGAGAAGTATGGATCAGAAATCTGCCTCTAGGAAACTGAGTTTAAAAATCATTTCTCTGCCATCAGTCTGCTTTTATGATTGCCTCTGGCTAAGTGCATGAGCGAGTGATTTTGTTTAAAAGTGAATTAGTCAGCAAAATTGGAGATAAATGTTGTACATCTCAATATAAACCAGGCTACAAAACTCAGTAATTTCATGAATGATTGGAAGTAATTCACTGAAGGGCTGCTCAAATTGGTTTAACTGAAGAAAAAAAAAAGACTTGCAATGTGTTASAAATATGTAGCAGGACAGAAAGCATCTGATGTTATAGATATAAAATATTGCATGATGACTTTATATTGTTTACCTTTATTTAATCCCATTGAAATCACAGATATCTTMTGCAAAGGAGGTCTGGGTCTGAACAACATTAATGTGCACATTCTCTGCTCTGAAAACCCATGCAAGCACAAGGAGAACAAACTCTGGGTCCGAACCCTGGGCCATCTTGCTGTGAGGCACCAGTGCTAACCACTAATCCACTGTACTGCATACAGAACCTGGTGACAAAAAAGGGGGAAAAAAGTCACATCATTGCATCCCTGAAAGTGAACTTTTTTTTTTGTTTTTTAATACTTAAACTGAACGAGGAAATTCATGCATCTGTTAAAGCAAAGAAATTGTGTCCACAACAACAAACGACCTAAATAATTCTGGTCAAGCTTCGGCGTCTTATCTCAGAAAAAAGCATGTTGTTCTGCAGCCCGGAGCACTTTTCAGTCAGTGAGTCAAACATCACCTCCTCTGTGTTACAAAACATTCAAGTCAAAAGTGAAGCCATCTGTCCAACAGCTGAACCTTGGCGAAAATTCAATCATGCAAATAATCCCACCTGCAAATCTGCAACAGAAATGATTAAAAAAAATAAAAACTGAAGGAATTTAAGACGTTGCATCGATCCAGACTATGCAAACTTCAAAACAAAGGCATCATTATGACGGGACATTCAGAGATTTGTGCCCAAAAAACTTTATCTCTCAGATTAAAGTCAAAACACAGCTGAGTATTTTAGACCAGCAAACAGGTAAAATCTGACTTATCGTCAGCTGATAACCTGCTTGGTTCATGTGGAACCAGTCAGGATGTTTGTAGTTTGCCCCATTTTTCACATATAGATTTGTTTTTGTTCAAATACAGAAAACAAAATGTTCTTATCAGTTTCGATCAGGGGTCCCCAAACTTTTTACTGTGAGGGCCACYTAACCTTTCCCTTCTCTGACGGGGGGGCCGGGGTCAGTTTGTAACAGAAAAAGTGTGACGGTCGAATGTAAACATTTATTGTTTTCCAGAAACCAGGAAATAAAAAATGATACTATTAATGAAACAAACAACAGTATTTATGAAATAAATAACAACCCAATAACCCTCTCTGGGATCTTTGCAGAAAAGACAGTCGGGAAATAAACAAAACTATATGTGAAATAAAGAATAACCAAATAACCCTAGAGGAAGAGGAAGATGCTCTTCATCTCTGTGACTCAGGAATAGCAGCGCACATTATTTTCCGTATTTGATCAATTATTTTATACAATGTTGGAAAAATCTGAAGGCCGTCCGTCATTTTGACAGATTGCATTCAACACCCCTGACCTCTTAAGTCTGGAAGACTTAATAAATAAASCAGGTGAGGCGGGAAAAAAAAATTCAACGAGGCTTCACAAGACGTCAAGCTCTGTGGCATCACGCTCACACAGAGGCTTTTTCAGCATGGAGCAGGTCAAGATCACGGAGGTCTTGTTTAATCTAAAAAATATAATAAATAAAAGATTCCCATTTGATCATCATCTCAGATCAAGACACCATACTGAATGAATCTCCAGGAGCTGACAGCGCACTGAAGAAGGACAGGTATGGCAAGCCGTAAGTGCCACAAAACGGGCACTTTACAACGCGTTAAACTTAAAAAACGGCGTTCGCCGTTTTTTAAGTTTAACGCGTTGTAAAGTGCCCGTTTTGTGGCACTTACGGCTTGCCATACCTG